AATCGATTCATTTGAATAGTCCCAGTTTGCAAAGTTAGGTGTACCAGAATACAATTAAGCAACCCAAAATTTTGGCTTAATACAAAGAACAGCAAGAGCAACAGCTGAGTCATTGTGTAAGAGTTTCCCCAAGGGAAGCAGTGGCAGAGTTATGGCTCGCTGCATTCACAACCCAGAGAGGACAAGGCTGTATTGAGAATTTGTTGTACAGCACAGTTTTGTATTAGATATGTAATTTTGTTTAATGATAACAAGTGTGCAACAGCTTGTATTTGCAGAACTACAACATGGGTAAGAAAGATTTAATCAGCTTACAAAAACAGTTCCAAACAGAAGCTAAATGGGAGGAACTGACTAGTAGGAAGATTTCTTCTTGAATGTGTCGTTTTGCTGTTTGGCAATGGAGGGAACGAAACTGGAAGTGATTGCACTGAAGTGTCACAAGACATCTTCCCAACTATCCAAAGCATGCCTGCTTTATCAGCTATTCCCAGTATTTAAGGGGGTTTCCAAGATACAGGAGATTCAGCTTCAAAAATAAATGGTTTGCTCTCTATGGCAATCTATTGGAGTGTTATACTTCATAAAGCTCACTAGCCAAAATTAAGGGGAATTACATGCTTAATGCAGCCATGAAAGTTTGACTAATATGACAAGAATTATTCTAATTTCTTGACAATTCTGTCCCTAGCTACTGCCTCTGTTCCCAGACTGGGACATACCAGAAATACTTTTTCAGCCCAGAATAACTCTTTATTGCCACTTCACAGGACAACATTCACACATATATGAAATGCTAATCCCAGGAGCAAATCCTCACCTTGAAGAACTGATTTCATGTCTGTACTATGTTATTCAGTTATCTCACCTGTAGTGCTGGCATCTACATAACTGTTCAGAGTTTCTTAAAACATTTCTGCCATCTAATCAGATGTTAATGGAATGGAAATAACTTCTTTGTGGAATGAAATGAGAGTCATAGCAAACAGTCAGCTGGGGAAGATTTTTTTGTCTGTCTGACCTTCTGGCTAGCTGTTAGTCTCCGTCTCTCCTCTACGCAGATCAGTCAAAATGCACTTCTCTGAGTACTGAGTTTCAAACCCTTTTATACTACAAGAGGAGGTTTTCAATGGCAAACAGAGTCTTTGCTTCTCACTCTTGATCCGAACTATTGAGCTTTAAAAGCCATATATAAATGGATCAGCTCGCATCCTTTAAAGCATTATAAATGCCCTCCCTGCCTTTTGAGGCTTGTAAAAATCACCTAATACATTAAAAGCCTAGTAGCTTTACATGCAGAAGGATGCAAAATGTAGACCAAATTTTAGAAGCTAAAATCTGGTCAAAGATTGCATAAATTCTACAGGAACAATACATAGAGATCTCTGCAATGACATCCCATTACTGCTCTGAGTTGCTTATGCTGGTGCTATACAGAGATCACGAGGGCAAGTCTTGAACACAGATCTCTAATTACAGGAACTGGAAGGTGTAGGGTAGGGGTGGGGAGGGGAAGAAAAGTAAAGTGAATTTTCTCCCCTTTTTCACAATTGCCAAAGTCCAGTATTATTGGTCTCTGAATCACTGCTTATATATAACAACAGCAGCCAACAAACATATTCTGATCTTTAGAGGGTGTCAAACCAACAGAGCAGCATTAAATAGTAGAATCAAGGGCACCTTAATCTCACCATCATTAATCTTTGAGAAACAGCCTTACTAACTAAACTTACTCTTCTGTACCTCTGTCCCATAGATAGCTAGACGGAAAAGACCCCAATTATGGTTTAAGGGCCTAATATAAATCCTACTGAAACTGGTGGGGAAAAGCTTCCATTGACTCCTCTGGGCTCCAATTCAGTTGATAATTCAAGAAGAAAAAGTCCATAGAATTAGTTGTAACATACCTGTCTTAGAAAGATGAAGACATATAACAAAGTAGCTGAAACAAAACAGCACTGAATGAAACACTTATCACTTTAATATTTTTTCCACTAGATTGTTCAAAATTGTACTGGTTTGGATTACAATTTCATGCCCCCCCCCAGTACAATTCATCATTTATTTCAAATAGTGTGATTCTGCACAGCAGCAACACTGTAGCTTTAACCATGCAAGATCCAAATTCAAAGTCTGAAACTCCCGTTAGGTTCTGCACAGCAGCAACACTGTAGCTTTAACCATGCAAGATCCAAATTCAAAGTCTGAAACTCCCGTTACATTCTGCACATTCTCTACTTTTAAACCATACATTTGTTGAAAGGGAAAGCTTTTTCCAGGAAAGTAAGACCTTGTGTCTTTTACAACCATTTACATCAGTTTAATGGCACTATTTAGTTACACTAGCACAGATTGCCTTGCAAAGACCGAACTTTTGCAACACAATCTTAAATTCAGTGGGTTAGACTGGAGTGTGCCAACACAAGGTTTCTACTGTCCAAACACTTCTCATCTATTTTAGCGGTTTACTTCAATACATCTAAGCAAATCTAGTTACCACTTTTTTGTTTTCTCAATGAGTCAAGGCCTTTGATCATATGCAGAAAGAATATTACCAGGGTTGGTTCTGATGGACATTTTTCTCCCCCAAAACACTTTCTGTAAATTCTAGCAAAACTGTGTAGCTGAAGGATAATGGTAATTGCAGAAAATGCAGACGAATGCACATAAATGATCCGTACAAGAGAATGCACACAAGTGATTCTAAGCCTAAGAAGCAGGGAATGGAGACAGTTTGCATGTTTCAGCCCAGGCTGTTTGATGAGACTTTCCCAAATTATGTTTATTAGGAATAGTTACCAAAAGGGATTCTGTTCTTTTTTAATGCTACCATTCAAAAGTCATCAACCATGAAAGCAGATCTTTCTTGCACATATTTGCAAGTTAGAAACATGCTTAGTACAGGATTTAAACGGTCTGTGATACAGTGCTAGAGAACATAAATTTAATTACAAAGATGAAAAGCAACAAACAGCAACACTGCCCCTTCCGCCCACATAGTAGTCCCCCAATTTTCTAATCTCTAGGCACAAGCAATCATAAGCTTGCAAAGAACTAGCTCAAGGAGTTTTAAAATTTCAAATTTGCTCTGCTACATTTAATTCTACTGAAGGTTACTGTTTCACACACACTGCTTAATTATATAATCTATGTGCGTTATTCAGAAATTCATTCAGAGACAAAGTCAGACTTGACACTGGGAGTAGAGGTGAAGAGAGGGGTTCTTAGGTGTGCCATTTGCATTAATAAGTACTTTGTGATGCTGAGATCACTCTTAGTGTATACTAAATAATTCATAGCATCACGACTTGCATACATGTAATATTATATACTGGCTTTCAGGAACTGCATTACCTACAAAATGACTTCTATTTTTGTTCACGAGGTATATGTTTGTCTTTGATGGTGTTCTGGAGGGGGCTCATTAAATTACTAATGTAACTATTCAATTACAAATTTTGAGGGATCAATTGAGATAAGCATAAATCCAAAGTAAACCAAGTGTCTCTTCTCTTCAGTGATCCTCCTACGAGGCTCTGAATGCTGAAATCTCTTTCTCCTGACAGCATTAACCCCTTCTTTGTATGACCCTCACTGGCCAAAACACTGAAGTAGTTATTCCGAGGGCTTACTAAACATTATGTTTGGTAGTACATAATGATGGGGTGGAAATGCTTGGTTTGCGTTTACTTTGTGAGCCCGGGGGAGAGATTGCTCCCTAAGCTTCCTGACGAGATGCTTATTTTTATTCACATTGTCACTATGTTTTCCCATGAACAAATATTTATACTTCAGAGGAAATGTTTCAGTAACATGCATCAGGCAGGATAAGCAATGTGTTCACTTCCCTTTCCTTTATTATGAGAAAGCAATTTTGCTTACATGAGAAAGTAAATAAATAGAGTCCCTAGAGATGCCTGGGAAGGGGTCATTCTTGCAGGGAACCCGTCTTGAAAATATTGGCAGCATGTCACTGTGTTAGATGACCTGTAGAGGTTTCATTTGTAATTGCAAGAAATGAATACATCAGAGATTTATTGTTTCCTTTGTTCAGAGAAACAGATTATTCTTGTACAATCCTGTCTTAACTAAAATATTTTCCCTTCTGACAAATTTTAGTAGTAAGTTATGTTCCTATCTGCATTATTATAATGTGCATTTAATGAGAATGGCAAGATACAAATCCTCTTTTTTTTTAATGCTTCTGAATGTATAACAGATTGGGAAGGCCAATGGGTGAAAATGACCAAATTTCATTGACTCCTCCAAAATTTAAGCAGGGGGCTGGACGATATGACCTCCTGAGGTTCCTTACAACCTGAATTTTCCTGTGATCGTAAATTAAGGAGATTTATTTGGTTTTACTAACTTACATGCTTACTGTAAGCACGTGAAGATGCACGTGCACCTGTGAAGATCTGGGTGTGGCATTGGCAAAAGTATTATTAATAAGCACCTGTAAATCAGGCTGGCCACAGCCCATCTTTTCCCTAGGCTGCACAGAGCAGGAACAGAGAAAGCTGCCTGGTTGCATGAAAGAGTATCTGAGTATTTGTAGTACAAGCTCTTTCTTTATCCCAGGATCTCACTCATTTCCTGGATCTGCAGTTAGTCTGTGTAAGTAGCCACTCTTGAAAATTAGACTTAGCAGCTTCCGTTTCTTTGATGCTTTGAAGAAAAGCTTGACACTGGGTCAAAAGCTACTACGTGCAGAAGCCGCCCATTACACTAACTGCAACAACACAAATCCTTTATACATTTCTTTTTAACTACTGGAATATCAGAACAAAGCTGACTAATCCTGTAAGTGAAAGGATTAATTCTAGGACTCTTCAGTTAAGACTTCCAGTACAAAGTTCTCCAAGTCACAGATGGTATAACTTTAAAATACCTGACCAAAAGCTGCTGTACAGAACAGCAGCAGTGACCAGCAACACCAGGTGAAATGAATCAGTTTTTCTTTTCTTTTTTTAATTTTACTTCTCCCTGGGAATACTTGCCTCACAGGAGAAAATAATGTTCATATCCATTTTTAAGAGCTTGATCAAAAGCAGAATTCCATTAAAGATATTTCATGTCCTTTTCTTACTGTGGCACTCCTGAAAGGGAAAGGAGAAAAAAAATTTTTTTTTTTTTAAAAAAAGAGACAATAAACCTTACTGCTTTCGATCTAAAATTACAACACATGCAATAACAAAACATCTCTTCTGATCCATTTTATATTGTAAAACAGGCCTCCTTTGTCAACACGACAGTCTTTCAAAGTTTCAAACAGGTAAATTAAGTATCTGCCTTAAAATACTAACTGTTCACTCCAACGCACTGAAGAAATCACAGGGACATAGATGAGGTTTTGAGCATAACTGTAGGTTGACACAGCTCTGTCAAATAAAGCTGGTTCTTGAATAATTTTCCTCTGGATTTAGATCAAAAAAATCACCTTACACATCAGAACCAAACACTGCTATGTCACAGTTATCCAGCTCTTAACAGGTTAGCTAACAGACTCTGAGGAGGGGGGGGTTTGCCCACCTTCAAGACACTAAAATATGAGCTGACAGCCTCATGACACATGAACTGGGACTTGTGTGTTGCTTCTACCTTTTCTCCCACATAAAATTAATTTTAGAAGTGCTTTGTTGGAGTTGGTAAATATCTTCATTATTGTGGCTTGGCTCCCATCCAGGAGCAAGGCTGAGGTTTTCCAAGAACCTATGGTGGGAGCAACATTGATTTCACCTGAGGTGCTACCCTAAAAAACAATGCTCAATGACACAAGTAGCTTTCAGAGGTTTCATGCTAGCTTGAAAAGCAGAAGTGAAATGCAGATTCTTCAGCTGAAGAGAATAGCATCCTGCCTAGCTTTTCTAGGCATTTTTCTCTCCTTATCAGCAACATTTCAGAGTTGAATTTAGGACTGAAGTTAGTTTCTCACAGAAATTCCCACCTTCTGTAGATACCCTGCACAAGACAACAGTGAGGACAAACATAGAAAATGAAGGAACACCTCATTCCACCTTTGTGGAATCAGCAAGCCAATGGAATTGACTGTAGAGCTAGAGGCATGATGTTTATATCCCTCTAGAAGTCTTTCCCTTCCCTAGAAGCACCTTGGCTACTTATCCGTAAGTATTTTAGTGGCAAAGACTGTATCAGTCTTCCTTAATTGCCATGTTTCATGCAGCTACAACTGTTGAGAATCTTCTCACCATCTTTTCTGCTGTCTTCACCCTGACTTTCTCCAAGGCAATCCCTTATAGCCTCCACACATAGCCCTTTGGGAGCCCTACAAATAGCAGCCTTATCCCATAATGAAACAACCCCCCAAATAATTAACTAAATAGTGGCATTAGCACACACAGGGTGGGGCTCTCAAACTCTTTAAACATCTGTTTACAGGATACTGTGCCATTCATAACTGTTAATTTGTTTCCTCAGTACTGGTGGCAGATCAGGAGTTATTTGCAGCTTCTTTCAGAACACACCTTTCCAAAAAGGGATCTGGTTTATCTGATCATAAACTCAGAGCTTTCTCTGGTTTTATTTCACCAAGATCTCATATATTTCAGCCAGCCTTTCTCTGCTTTGCCCTCATTAAAATCCACATACATGGCCTCCATGGATACATTGAGATCCTTCTCGCTCTCAGACAGATACGCAAAACCCTTCCACCAGCTCATTCATAATTCTTTTTCATAAATCATTAATTATTTACATTATTGTCCTATTAAAGGCCACATTGAGACTATCCTGCTTGCTGAGAGATTTTTTTAATTGTTATGCTGTGAAGTCAGACCAGTTGTTTGAAGAGTGTAAACAGATAGAAATGTAGTTAAACCTGATTTTCATCATTACTAAAGCATAAGCCTAAAAGTTCCACTTCACAGAGAGAAAGTTTCTGGCCTCCATGCCCCGGCCCCTCAATCTTACTTCTGCTTTCTAGTTTTGAAGATAATTGGGATCACAAAAGATACTAGTCTCAGCTAGCATTGTGCTGCCTGATTACAACGCCAAATTATAAACATCTTCCCTACCATGGTAGTGGAGGCAGATCTTCTATTTCTGTGCTGATGATCTGCACTCAGAAGAACAGAGCAGTTAAACCTTACGTGCAACTTCCTTATCTGATTCTTAAGGAGCTCACAGCTGAAAAGACAGCTGGCTTTATGCGACTCTTACCCTGTGTGCCTGCACCAGAGAACATCAGTTTTGGCTGTGGCAGTGCAATTCCTTCTCTCCTTACCCAGGCAGGCATTACCTGAACTAATGCTCACCCATAACAGCAACCGCATGATAGTGCTGTCTGCAGGACATGCAATAAAGTCACCATAAACTGAGGGAAACTAAAGCCAGCTGGAACAAAGAGTAATTCAGTGAGGAATGTACTTATGTGGTCTAATTCTCCAAGGTGGAGAACTTGCTTTAAACAGGTGGGCAGGGGAGGAGCAGGTGGTTATTGCTGCAGGTTGGCAGGTGATACAATCGCAGTGCAAACCAGGCCCAGAAGGAATGCAGATGAGACCATGTGGAACCATGTGGCTCCCTGGACAGCAAATCAGGGCCAACACATAACCGGTCATGTATGATCTGGCCCCTTCTGCTATGGACAAGTCACTCCTCTAACACAATGACATTAGAGAAAACTCAGCCCAGTGTTCTCCTCAAATCCACCCCAGCTTCACCTTTAGGTTGTTCAGTAGTTTATTTCTTCCCCAGTTTTGGTTGTTGGTTTGTTTTTTTTTTTTTTAAGATTATTACCAAACTAACAATGTTGCAGAATTTTATCTTCTCAACCTACTGAAGAGCTTCCTTCATCCCTGTGTGTTGGTTTTATGTTTCTGTAACATCACACATTTTCAGTACAGCTGCCCCAAATCTCTTCAACAAACTTTGAGGGATTATGTGGAAGAAAAGTAATTGCTTATAAGCATGATGTTTCTGCTTTGTGTAATATGGTCTTACTTCAAACTTTTGCCTTTAAAGGTTCAAATACTGGAAGAAGTTCAAGTAAAAGAAAGAGCAGAACCTTAGTTCACTGCTGTAATCTTTACTATGACACACCTCACACTGTACCTTACATGGTTGAAGAGACAGTAGAAATTTTACTTCCCATTGATACCTAACCCAACATTTCCTCTCAATATATTTTCAAACCTTTAATGTTACAGAATCCATAGTAAATGCAAGTGTTTTGCCCTTCCTACTTCAGTTTAGACAAGTATGCTTTTTCTGGCATCTCCCTTAGAGATAAAGGAATTTTTCCCTATATTGATTACATAGGCAAAAAAAAACAGATGACATGTAATGTAAATACTTCTATTTAACTAAATACAAATGATGGCATTTGGGGAGAAGTTGACCATCAGGTTCTAAAAGAAAACCAGGATTGCTACTAACCCTACCTTAGGAGCATCCATAGCGACATGGTTAAACAGCTGCTAAACAAAAGTACATGTACTAAAGCTCTAATTTCCTATGCTCCCCAAGTAGGGAAAAGTTTTGCCCTTTTCTCATGCCTCTCTTCTGAGAGCTGCCAAAGAGCTGGGCAGGGTACGGCCCACTGCTTCTCTCCCAGAGGTCCTCAACAACAGCAAGGAACAGAAGGGACTCTCTCACTTCATCCTCCTGCTAGTTTTTTTGAAGACGCGTCCTTCCTAACCAGCTCCTCTTGCAAACGGTTCTCTACATGCATTTGCTCTCTGTACTGATTGCAAATTTCATTCATATAATGCAGACACCCATTAATAATTTAAGATTAAAAAGCAACCTAAGGGCAGGAATATTCCATTTTTGCTCATGCACTAGATGTTACTTTGCTAGTACATCAACTCAAGTTATCTTTGTGCGTGCTACGTTAATTCAGTAAATTGCTTTTCAAACAAAGTGCATTCAGAAAGCGCCTGGAGAATCTATATGAGATGAAAGTTTAATTTTTATGGCAAATGTGCCAGATCAATATCCAGAAAGAGAAATATGTATAGATTTTAGTTTCATCCATCAAGATTTCAAAAAGAGGGGGCAACCAGAGTAAGTCGTATAAAGAAGCCCTCGGCGCAAACAAGTAAGAGTCCTATCAGGTGTAGTGATAAATATCCCAGTGCACTATTTACAGCGTGTTCAACCAGGGGAATAATAAATACCTCTAACGGTATTTAATAGCTCTATAGCGTTGCAGCGGGACCGCCCGCACACCCAAGGGAGCTGTCAGCGTTATCAGCCTTACCGGGGGAGGGAGCGGGACGCCAGGTGGGGCCAGGCAGGTGCCGGGTCTCCCCCAGGAGCGGGACGCTGCGGCCCCGCTCAGCGGCCCGGAGGGGACGGAGGCTCCTGTCAGGATCTGCCCGCGAA